ATTTTATTATTTTATATACTTACAAAAATGTTCATGTTAATATAATTGTGATGAATGACATATTGTGAAAATAAATTTATGTATACATACGACTAGTATAAATATTTAATTCAAAAACTACCACATTTACACACAATCATACCAATTATAATCAAAGAATTTATATGTAAATGTACACTAAGTGATAAAACTTAAAAATGAAAAAATTTGTTCTACGTTCAATTTAACATAGAAAGATTTTTTGTCACACCTTTTCAATTACATCTATTTTAAAATCTGTAGATCATTCTGTAGTAAATGAAATAATATAAAATTCCTAGTGACTCAAAAATACCATCTAAATTCTATTATACTGCACTACTTGTAATTTAGTAAAACAAAAAATGTATGAATAGTTATATTATGCTGAAAGGTCTGTCTATTCGATTCCATTAATCAAAAAAATATCATATTTCTAAATGAACTGAACACATTCAATTTTCCATCTTCTTTATTCACTTATTACTCCTGTTCATTTCCACTGAGATATTATAAGTAAGGTTGTGCAACAATTTTAACAACAAAAACAGAGTGACATTATTACGGGTTGTATGGATACAGTTTGTAAATATGTAAATTCAGTTACATGTTATTAACTAATATTCACATACATCTATATTTGCATATAAGTGAAAAATTGTAAATGTGTTTGGGTATGTGCATATGGGTTGGTGTTCAATTTAACTACAATTTTTTTTTTAATAATTAAATAATTTCTTGTTTTAATAATGAGTGACAATAATAAAATATGAGAGTATTCTCTTATTTTTCCACTCGTGCTCCCTTTAATTTTTAACTAAGTAAGAAGTGCTTCTCTATACATATATGTATATTTCATTTGTATATGCATATATGTATAACTTTCGACAGTTAATGAATAAAAAATAAATATGTAGACAGTAATGTAAATGTTCACTATAATTATACATTATTGGATAATTCACCCCTATGGTTGCAAACTAGCAAATACATACAAGAAATCTGACATGCGTTTGTATAAATATTTCAAGTTATGATGTAATCAAGTATACATGAGTAACTATTTGAATGCATTTGCACATGTACTTAATTGTGATGGTTACCCTTTCAACTAATTGAATCAGCAAATTGAAATCAAATATGGAAGCACATCACCATAAGCATTAAATGTGGTTTAGCTTTAAAATTGCGCAATTGATGTTTTTATGATTGCTTTTTTTCCATTATTGTATTTTTTTATTGCTTTTTTAATTTACTGCGAAGTAAATAAGAAAATAAAAATAATAGTAAGAATTTTAGTATAATTACTGTTACTTTCAGATTGGTGACGTACACGTATTTTATATGCATATATGGATATACATATATGTATTATTTTGCATATGAAATAAATATTAAAGTTTTCTTTAAAGTTTATAGGAAATACACAAAATTTATTGGGTCCAGCAATAATGAAAAAAAAATAAACGCTATTCTAAAGCAAGGACGAGGAAATTCCTATAGTACGCTTCCTTATTTGATTCTCTTAATTCCTAGATTAAAAATTCTAGATTGTTTGATTAGAAAAAGTTTAATAAAATATTAGCCTGTAAATTAGTAAAACGAAAGTTAAAAATGTTTGATAGTTATGTACAAAGAATCAATATGATTGAGTAAGGCAAAGTATACCCTGACATCGGAATTGTAAATATAGTCTAACATCAATACACAATAATTAACATTCAACAATTAACATTTATAAGCTGAATTATCTAAATCTGCATTAATACAGTATTATTACAATTCCAATCTCAGCAATATTATGCATTCCACAATAGAACAGTGCAACAATGGGCTCAAGAATTTTTGTTTTGCATATAACAATAAAATCAAGAATTTTGATTTTATTGTTATATAAAAACATTGGTGATTTAGAAAAGCAAAAAGCTAAGTGTAAATCACAAAGGATATTGATTTTATTCTACCCCGTTAAAAACACATTTTCAATTGTTAAAATTTAATTGCTTAGCAAGAATCTATTCGTTATGAGGAATATCGAATACTTTAAGATGAAAAAGGTGAGGAAGATATGTGATTATTCAATACAAGAAACAACAAATTTTGAATAAATATTTGATATAAAATCGAAATCTTTTAAAAGAGAAAGGTCATCGGTAAAAAGCTCATTTTACTATACCAAAAACTAAAAATTTCAGGTACACAACAAGAAAAGGGGAGCAAGCAAAAAGCTTCAAGGCAAAAATTCGAACACATTATTTTAAGATCAATAATTTCTGTTTTCTTAGTGTTAATTTAAATTTTATAATTCAACGTATTACGAAATAAATGTATTAGGAAAAGATATTTGAATATTTCTAGTGACTGTTGTGTAATTTGAATTATTTACATTAAATAAAGTCATTTACATTAAATGACAATAGTGGTTATTGGTCGTAAAAGCACCCTTAAGATAAATTTTCCTTATTATTTTTGGGTTATCTTTGCTGGTTTTCATATTTTGTGAAATTCATAAATAAAAGAATTACCTGCAAATATAAATCATAATTTTTCTCACTGGATGACTTCCTATATCCTAACAAATGCCAATATACACACATATACATACATATATTTGTATAGTTACGCCAACTGAGACTTTTTTGCGATTATTTATAATTATTTTCAATCACTTAAACACGATTTACTCATAAATCTTTCGTATTAAAAATATTTCAAAAATTTTATTTCGTTTCACACATAAATTTTACATATGCATACAAACATACGTATATCTATTAACTTGCTTATGTGTAGTTGTTGGCATTAGCCGAGTTTTATGTACTCGTTCAAAATTATTTTTATAAACATATGTATGTAGATATTTCAATATCTTCATTGTCGCTCATTAACTCATAAAATATATTTATATCACACACATACATGTAGTCTGAAACTTTAAAGAAGAAAGATGTGCAAAGAAAACAAGCGAGCAGCTCACTCAATTTTGTATATGTAGAGATTTATAAAAAAAGGGCTTACTTGCAACTGTTTTGTCTTCTCACATAATTTAATTTTTATTATTTTCATTTACACTTAACTTCAACAATTTGATGACATAATGGCCGAGTAATAAAACCAATAATGGCCACATTTTTTATTGCATATTATGATTTTTGCTTGTTTTTTTTTTTTTGTTTTTTATTCTTATTTTACACATTATTATTGACTTACAATAAAAAAGATTTCGAAGTTTTTCATTAGTTGTTATTCTTAACGTATTTTTAATTTTTTTTGTTCTTTTTCTACAACATATTTTTATTTTTCATTTATTTTTTCTCCTCATTTTGCTTTAAATTGAATGTTGTCAGTTTGTCACATAAGTTTACCACAAAAAAAAATAAGACAAAAAAATCCTGAAAAAGTAAAGTATAAATTAGAAAGAAAACATCAACGTGAAGATATGCCGCAATTTGAGAAAATTACCAAACAACATAATAATAATAATAATAATAACAATAACAACAGAAGTGGCAGAAGCAACAGCGGCATGGTAACTACATTATGTGGAAATGTATGTACATATGTGTAAAAAATATTAAATGAGAGAAAAGATACAAGTCGCATTCCAATATTGTCATGACTATGCTTCGTTTTTGCTCCACCTTTTGTACTATTTACATTTGAAAATTGTCTTATTCACTGCCGTTTATCTAGAGTATATTGAAATTAATTCTAAAGCCATATTTAGTTGCAATGCAATATACATAGGAACACAAACTTGTATAAGTGTATGAACAAGGTTATTGTATGCTCTTTGCTCGAATCAAATTTTAATCCGTTCAAATTTTTTACATAACTAAAGAAATTTTTATTGAAAAATGATTTTTTTCCGACGGTGTTACTATTAAAATTTTATACATTTTTAGCAACTTATATAACTTTTTCGGCTGCTTCAACATAATATATATATGTATCTTTCAGTCAGAAAAACTCATATATTTTTATGTTATGTTCTTTTTTATACATATTTAAATTTTTAAAATAACAGTCGTCCAAAGCTTTTAGATTATTTAACTCTTAATGAAAATTGTTTTGAACAAGATATGTATAAGAATAGTATAAATCAATATTAAATCAACAAAATTGATAAGTTTAAAACTTACTAATTTATATTTACCATATTCATGTTAAATTATTTTTACATCTTGTCAAAATTTAGTCCTGTTGTACCTAATACATTTTTAAATAACATAGGCCCCTTATTTGTCTTGATATTTTAGATGTATAATTTGTGACTTGTTGTAACTTCCTCTTTTTTCCCAAATGTTGAAATTCTGAACTGTTTTTTACTTTGATTTTTTATTACGATTTATTTGATGAGTAGAAATATTATTTGTAGAATAAAATTTAATTTAATGTTTTATTCAATTAAACATCAAATTAAATATGATAACAAGATACCTAAAGCGAAGAAAAGTATCCACTATTTTTTATGTATGTAGGTATTATATTTACATTAAAGCGTAATTTTCGTACCATAATTTTAATAACAATCGGGACAAACCAATTCAACTGAATAGCAAAACTAATATCCAACATTTCAAAACATTGATTACTTTTAAAGAATTCAATCACTCGAAAAAGATATATTCCTAATTTAACTATCATAGATTTTTCTAACATTATATTTTACTAATATTAATGCAATAAAGTTTAAGTCCAGAGCACCAATTAAGGCTCAATAAATTGCATAAATACTTTATTGAATACAGAAACTGGCGGTTACTTATTATAGAAGTACATATGTCACAAATTTTAATTTTATTTTGCTATTTTAATAACATTGATTCAAATTTAATTAGCCATTTTTGGTTACTGTAAAAATAACAATAATTATTTATCATTCTTTTAAAGATATAAGCTGCTTTTTTTTATTTATTTTTATATTATTATAATTTTATAATTAAAGTAAAAATATATTTAATTTATTTTACGATAAACAGGAGTTTGTACGAATGCTACAGCACCGTCAGTTTCTTCAATTAATAGAATTTTAAGAAATCGTGCTGCAGAAAGAGCTGCCGCTGAATTTGCTCGTGCAGCTGGTTATGGTTTGTATCCACCACATCCATACACAGGATTTCCGTGGCCACCAAATCCAGCTGCAGCAGCTCATTTATGGTCACCAAGCTCTGCCTTGTCGGGTATTTCATCTAGTTCAAGAGGTGATTCAATAGGACCATCAACTTCACCTGGTTCTGGAAGTCATGATACACTAGGTTCTCCCCATGGGGATAGATTAATAGGTAATAATTATATAAGTTTTTAATTTAATAAATTCTTGTATTGTATATAAAAAATTATTATTATTTTCCCCACAGACGTTGAGGGCGAGGACTGTGAGTCACTTGATGGTGAACAACCAAAATTTCGCCGTAATCGAACTACTTTTAGTCCAGAACAACTTGAAGAATTAGAAAAGGAGTTTGATAAATCACATTATCCATGCGTTAGTACAAGAGAACGTTTAGCTTCACGAACCTCACTTAGTGAAGCTAGAGTACAGGTTAGTAAGAAATTTAATTTCTTTTTTCATATTACTCTAAAATCTTTATTAATAACTGCCTTAAGAACGAAGTGTTTTATCTATTTGCTACTAAGCTCTTAATCTTATTGTAAATACAAAAAGTGAAGTTTCTCCAGTATAATTAATTGTAACACTTTTCGAGGAGAATGATCATACAATACAAATATTAACTTTAATGCAACTTCAAAATGATTTATTTTAATTTCATTCAAAATATCTTATTTTCTCCTCAAATAATAAAATTTGACTAAAAGTCAACCGTTTTCCTATTCGAATGAAATCAAAAATCCGTAAAAATTCTTTTTTATACACTAACGATAGATCTCTTCGCATTGATCAATTCAGGTTTGGTTTTCCAACAGACGAGCGAAATGGCGACGCCATCAACGTATGAACTTACTGAAACAGCGGGGAAGTCCGGCACAACAGCATCAACAACACCATTCCATGCGGGCATCACCTCACTCACCGCCAATCACCCCCACCAACACAAGTACGCCCAACACAACACCCAACAGTCTTCACAGCAGCTCAACTTTATGTTCGGTTCAATCCCCCATAATTATCAGCCCAATCACAAAACATGGAATGTTACAACAATGCACTCAGGAACTCAGCAATCAAGCAATATCATCCAATCTGAACATCAACAACAGCATCAATCTAGCTTTAATCTCCAGCAGTTTCAAGGGCGACAGTCAACAGCGAGAAAATTTCATCCATACATCAAACAACAACAATCAAAACAGTCAATCAGTAACAATAAATTCAGCCAACACCAATTCACACTCACAATCCAGAACAGTAACTATACCACCTCATTTGACACATCATTCACAAATTCCACAGCAGCATCAACAATCATTAGTTGTAGCAGCAGCAGCGGCAGCGATTGCAGCAGCTCGAAATTCGACCAACAACAATCAAACATCTCAAGCGACGACGATAGAAAGCAAAATCACTCAATTGACAACGGCGGAAACAGCATTAACGGAAGTGACATCAGAAAATTCGCGTCAACTGGAAAACCTGTCGTCACAGAAAAAGGATCCAACACCAATTCAGAATCAACTTTCAATTGCACAAATGATAGTTCCACAACACAATTGTGTAATAAATCAGAAATCAGAACAACAACAAAAGGACTCACCACAACAATTCCATCATCTGCATCACTTGCCTCTAGTGCCGCAGGAAGACAAGGTAGTAAAAATGAAGAGGGTGGAGGTGCCGGAAAACGTGACGTCATCAGTCACAGCATCAACTCCATTATTAATGGGAGGTGAACATAGCGCTTTTCGTTCCATAGTTAATCCGTCATCGGCCGCAGCATTTGCTTTAGATTTAGCTAGACAATATGCAGCGGCTTCTGTTGCTGTTGCAACAATGCATAATAGAAACACACAAGATAATGAATGTAATAAAAATAATGAAAACTACGATGATAATAGCAGAAATAATAATGATTATGCAGATTCTGATGAAGAAGAAATAAATGTTCAATCAGATGAAGACGAAACCAATTGTAGTCACAATAATAGAATACCTTTGCAATTAACTAAACATGACAACAGACAGCAGTAGTAGCTAACAAAACAAACAATTCTATCATCGGTTCCCATAAAATATTTAATATAGTTTTTGTATAAATGTTTTAATATTATAATCATCACTGATATACGTAAATTCAAGTAAATATGTAAACATATTATGTACATATAATTTAATTTTTCAATTACACAACTGTAGTGCAATGTTTCATTTTCCTAATTAGATTTACTAAAATAGATTACTTGTTTTATTTTTTAATTATCAATATAAAATAAACGATACATTCTTAAGTATACGATTAAAATATTTTAGCTTTTATATTGAAAATAAATCAAAATTTAGAAAATTTATCGAATAAAAATGAAATTTTAAGTTAAAATGAGAGAAAAACTTGATAAGCTACAAAAATGGTGGGAATAATTGATTTCAAGGATTTAAATTGAACTATTACATTAAAGTCTTTCATATTTTTCATTCCTTTTAATTTTGTAGAATCGAGACTAACTTTTCCGTATGTACACGAAACTGTATTTAAAAAATAAATTACAACAATTGAATCATGATCAAACCCATAATTTTTCTATGTTTTCGTTTCAATTTAAAAACTATACGCTTAAAAAATCTCTCTGTGTAACAGAAATAACAACTCCATTTTACATTAGAAAAATTTTTTTAAAAATAATGAAGCTATGTATGTATAATAATTAAATGATAAATTATGTGAATTAAGTTAAATGACTATATTTGGTGGCGCTAGGAAATTTACAGTTAGCTTTTTGTTTAGATAGGCTAAAATTTCGGAAATCAGTTTCTAATAAAGATCTATGTACACATAAAATTTCAGCTTTCTAACTTCAAGGATGTAGAAGTTTTGTAAACACGTCCACGGACGGGTACGGACAAAGTGAAACTAATAAACACTTTTTATACCTGTACGAAGGTATGTTTGAAGGGTATACAAACTTTACCTTACCGTTTGTAATGTTTTTGATCAGCGTCAAATTCTGAGTCGATTTAGCTTTCTCTGTCCTTCCTTCTGTCCGTTCCAACGATAACTCAAAAACTAATCTAAGTTCAACAAATTTTCACGAATGATTTATTATAGTAAATGCCAGAACCCTATTTAAATTGGATATGATCGGGCCACTGGTTTGGGTAGCTGCCATACAACTTCAAAATTTATTTGGTTTATTTGGAAACTATAAAAGCTGTGGTATTGGAATTTCATACAAGCGAATATATTAGTAGGGCCAATGTGTTTGATAAAATTGAAATTGCTTCGCTTTTTCTGATAGCTGCCATACAACTTCAATATTAGTTTGGCTATATCTTAGAAAATATTGAAATTTTGCTTAAATTAATATGGTAACTTAAAGTTATAGTTTGTGCTATAGTCAGCTATGACCTATTTATTCGCACATAAATAGCAAATTCGTACGGGTATCACAGAGTTGACACGGTCAGCTCTATTTTTTCTCAAAAGTGTTTTGCTTTCAAACAAGTGTTCTTCTAACAAAATAAGTCATGTACCAATTGTAAACTATTTGACCTTATTATTGTCAATTATTTCAGCGGCCATTTTATAATTGTAATGTTTGAATTTACTATTTTCCACCATAAAGTAGCTCTAGAGTCAAGTAGTTACTTTTCTGCGTTTTCGGAAATATTTTATAATATAAATTGTCACAAAACGATATTTTGATGTTTTTGAGAACTCACAACTTTTATAGGTGGCGGAGTTGTCAAAAATTAATTTCTAGTAAGTGTTCCCATATTTGTGTACAAAATTTCATATATTTTAAACGATGTAGAAGTTTTTTCAATAGGCGACAGAAACTATTAAGCTCTTTTTTCAAGTTTATTGGAAAAGTACTAAAAGCAAATAAATAAAAAGCATTTAATTTAGACTATATAAATATAATTTTAATCGTTAATAAATTATAAAACAGCAGCTTAACCCATTCTGTAAAATTAATTAACGGCATGAAAATTTTTAAAATTTCTTAAACAACTATGTCCATAGATGCCAATTAAAACGAGCTCTTAATTTTTCAAAAAAAAAATGATTTCATTCTTATTCGATTGATTTCTCAAATTATTATTAAATAAAAATTATTTTTTTAATGAAATAATAAAGATTTTAAATGCTTTATTTTTACATTTTCAATTTGAATAAATATTTTAAAATTGTTATAATAAATGTGTTCCTATGTAATTAGTTTGTATTGAAATAAATTAATCAAATATAGTTTTATGTTTTATTCAGTTCATTACAAAAATATAATTATAAATATTTCTGTGTAAATGGAGGACACCATGTGACAATATTCAAAAACAAATTTATAATTTGGACCAACATAAATAAAAAAAATATTCAAAATTCTTTAAAAATTTAAAACTATGTTAGAAAAAATTTGTCACATGATCTAATTAGTTGTATTAAATTAAGACCAAAGTATTAATAAAAACTTAATGAAAAATAATTGAATTAAAAAAATAACGAAATGGGTTGTCAAAATGCAAAAAAAAAAGCAGAAAAATAAAATATCAATATAAAATATAATTTATATTAATAAATTATAATTATTATGTAAGTTTGAAATATAAAAAATATTTTAAGCAGAATAGGTTTGTACATTCTTTATAATTAATATGTGTAATATGCGAGTTTGAGTATCCTTTTTGACTTTAACTGTAGAATAGAATATTTAATTTCGAATTTATTTATGCATTAAAATATTTTAATATTAAAGGTAATTTTCTTGTATATTAATTTAAATTGAAATTTCAATAGTAAAATAAATAAAGTAGTAGATCCTATAGTTTTTATAATATTGTTATGTAATATTATGCTTCATTTCTTGCAAGTTACGTGATCGACGTGATCGACGAAAATTTTCTATACTTGTGTGAATTAAATTTAAATTTACCCAATAAATGGGGCTTTATTTTTGAAAATGCAATTCTAGCTTATAGAAGCGGTTAATGATTAGAATACATATTTAAAATTAAAACTTCTAAAATTCTATTTTAATTTTTCAAAAATACATAACTACTTCAATTTTGTAATAGAATAGTGCTTTGAAACACAATTTTGGTTGAAATTTGTTAAAACAATTTTGCTACTGCAGATTAGTCTCCCGCAGTTGTAAAGGAATCTAAAAATGTTACAGTCTTGAGTTTCCGGAAACAAACAAAATAATTGAAATTTTTGATTCTAGCAATAAATTATTTGATATCTTTTACTGCACGTATGCTGGAGTAAAATCCGCTTTAGTTGGAAGAACTTTGTCATATCAATTACATTATGCCTATGAATTAATTACAATTACTTATGAAAAAGTTTTTTCAATACTGAATATATTTTAACATTATAAATTTTATACATATGCAATTTAGCTAAATCATTTTTGTACTTAGTTTAATACGAATAAAAATGTGATTGTCATCATATTAACGCAATACCAGTGTAATATTGTGCTGAATACGGTGCTATGTAAGAAAAACAGAAAACACATATAAAAAGGAAATTTTCAATATGATCTTTGTTTTTTTTTTTTCCTTATAAAGATTCATAATAATGTAACAGCATTTGGCAGATAATTAAATTAATTTTATTCATAGATCAAGTAATGAAAACAAGCTATAATGTTCTTTGATTTTATTTTTTTATTTCTCACCCACATCGTTAATTCACACGATTATTATTATGTATTTTTGTACTTATTTGGAAAGTTTAAACAAAAATGTATTTTTAATAAATTTTATTTATTTATAAATTAAAAATATATAAAATTTTTTATTAAAAATTGTATAAATTATAGTAAAACCTGTATAATTTTGTATATAAATGAAAATACAACACCTACAAATTGTCACTTATTAAATTCTTCATGTTTTTTTTTAATTAAGAGAACATATTTCAAATATTTTAGGAATCTCGAAAACATAGTAACAATTAATTAATTAATATAAATAACATTAATTAAATCACGGAAGATTTTAGATTGATAAATTTTTAATTGTAATTGAATTAATTTTCGAAAAATGAATTTTTTTCAAGCAAATTTGAATGTAAGATGTGTAAAGCAATTAAATTAATTTTTTAGATTTAATGGTAAAAAATGTGTGTTAAAAAAATTATGAATAAAATAAAAATTTTCAAATAAAAATTATTAGTAAAAATTGTATACAAAAAGTAAATTTCTACAAATAAAACAAAATATATTTGAATAAGTTGAAAAATTTGTAAATAAAACATTAAAAATAAACCAAATATTTAAAAAAAAATCTTTTGGAATCTTGGTTTTTTTTCGGTTTCATTAACCGAAACTCCTAAAAATGATTTCAGATTGATGGTACAAAAAGAAATTCTTGAAACATCTTATTTGTTTTTATACGCTATTTTCTTTATTTCAGTGATTTTATACCTCAAATTTCATTGTTAGTAAAATTAGTAAAATTAATAGTTACCAAAAAGTTTGTTATAATTTAAACAGTTTAGTAGTATAAATACTTAAATATTTTAGTGCACATAAATGCTTTAACGTCCTTTTTTTAAAGACACGAAAATTATACAAAAAAATTAATACTTGGAAATTTTTTCGAAATATCATTACTCAAAGAAAAACAATTAATTCATCTTTAAATTAAAATTAATAATAAAATTAAAATAAAATTTGCAGTTTTAGAACAAAATTTATTTCTGAACCGAGTAAAATGAAAATCAAATATAATTCACTCCGCAAAAGCGTAAACTCTATACAAAAATATCACTACAATTATTTGTCAATTCAATATTATTATGTAACTCGGTTTAATTATATATAAACTATTTTAATTAAACTAATATTAAATAATAAAAAATTATTCTAGATAGTTTTTTAAAAATTTTTAAAGACTTATTTTATCTCTAATTAAGATTTAATTTCCCCATAGATACCGCTACATGTATACAAACGCCAATTATCTAACAATTCGAGGAGCATGAAACAGCATACATGAAAACGTACAAACTACCATTTCTCTTTGTA